CCTTTGGGGCTCCCAACATGCTCTACCCACCCCATCTCTCTCTCTCTCTCTCTCTCTCTCTCTCTCTCTCACCCTCCCTCCTTCACTCCCTCCCTCTCTCTCACTCTCCTTCTCCCTCTCCATCTCTTTCTTATCTTTAATATGTGAAAAACTTATGCTCCTTCCTTTATGCTGTGGCTCTAGATCAAGTTTCTCAACCCTTGTACTATTACTATTTGGAGTCAAATCATTCTTTGTTGAAGGTTGGGGGAGGGGAAGTCCTGTGTCTTGTAGAAAGTTTAGCAGCATCTCTGGGTCTCTACCCACTAGATGTCAACCGTGCCTCCCCAGATCATGTCACTCAGAAATGCCTCCACACATTTTCAGATGTCCTCTGGAAAGAAAAAGTACCCCTGTTGAGGATCACTGATCTAGAACATGCTATTTTGTCCAACCTTGAGGCATATCTTTCTGGCGGGGAGGCAGCAGCTGGAATGGAAACCTTCATGCAGAGTCATTCAGATGCTCTGTGGGCCAGCCTCCCCGCACCACCCCGACTCCCCATCTCCCACCAGCCCTCTGTCACGACCAAGGTCAGGACTAAGGGGAAGGCGCTTGCCTCAGTTGCAAAATTTAAGGGGACACTGAAGAACTCAGTGGTCAAGATAAATAAATATTTAATGCCATCTTTCTTAAAAATCAGAATCTATGTAAAGCTACCATGATGAACAAAACGTCAAAATATTAATCAATCAAGTTCCAGCCACATTCACTGCAATCCAAGGACAGGCCAGCAAGTGCTGAGCCTTGATTTTGCCAGACATCACTGCCAAGAACTTGTGGCCCTGTCAGGGTGGGTGACTCCACTCTGTGATATCCTAGCATATTTGTTCCTTGGATTCCAGCCCAGCCCTCCAGTGCTCAGGGCATCAGGGACAGGTCACCCAGAGGGTGAAAAGGCCTGGATTCCTTCCACTCCTCTGCTCTCTCAGGGGACCTACAAATGGAGAAGTATCTGAGAGCTCACTTCTGGGCCCTGAATGCAGAGTAACGGTCTCGGCCGTTATCTCCCTGGCCCAACGGACGCAACCCTCAGCTTATCTACCTGACTTGGGGGTTGATTGACTAATTCCAGGGCCCAAAAACCTGGTCTCCAGAGTTCAAGCAGGAGACTTCCCAGCTGGGGAGGGATGGAAAGCTAGCCCCCCTCCCCCTTATTCTCCCCAGTCCTGGGGTCCAGGCCAGGGGCCTCATTTCACTCAGTGGTTGGGATGACCGAGAAGGTCGGCTACTCCCGTTAGCCAGCACCACGATAAGCTTTACAAGCGCTGTTTCATTTAAACGTCCCTGCATTACACATTAGGAAACGGCATCTCAGCTTAAATAAGTTACCCAAGATTACACAGCAAGTCAGAGGCAGACCTGAACCAAGACCTTTCGGCTCCTTAGTCACCCCACACCTGCATTCCCTCTACTTCCTCTCTCTGGCCTGCCCCTCCCTGGGGTTGACCTGGGGCAGAGACATCCCAGGGCCCTGCTCAGTCACCACGGTGATGTCTGATGTAAAACTGGAAATAACTCTTTTTTTTTTTTTTTTGGCCACGCCGTGCAGCATTTTAGTTCCCTGATCAGGGATTGAACCCACGCCCCTCGCAGTGGAAGCACGGAGTCTTAACCACTGGGCCGCCAGGGAAGTCCGGAAATGACATTCTTGAAGGTCCACCATATTCCAAACGCTATGCTTCATTAAGGCTTTCACATCCATTATCCTACTTACTTAATCTTTACAAGCATCTTGCCAGTTAGACACTGCCATCCCAGTGCGCAGACCTACCACACAAGCTCAGAGAGGTGAAATAACCTGCCCAAGCTCACACAACTAGTTAGAAGTGGCATGTCTGACCCTAGTCTGTTTGACTCCTACATCCTTGCTTTCTTTGATTCACCCAAATGCGTTACGCCCAGACTAGCCCATGGTGCCCACCTTTTCAGCATCCATGAAACGCCAGCTCTCTGGCTTACTGTTCGCATCTATATTCATAGGGGTTTCAAACTCCGCCTCTCGTCTCAAATTTCCATCCAGCCCCACGTTATGCAGAGGACAGTATAGTGTGATGTCTTGATAGAATGGAATCACCATTCCAGAGTCAGCCCCTCTGGGTCTCAGTTTTCCCCTCCATAAACCGACGCTAATGACAGGACCCACCTCAAATGAGATCAGCTCCAGTAAAGACCTCGGAACAGTACCTGGCAGGTGGAGCTGGGGGTAGCCCTTGTTAGGAAACTGAGACTGAACTGTGACCCTAATCAACAAGTAGGCACCGAGAGCTGCTTGAGCTCCTGCTCTGTGTCCTGCATGATGATGCAAGGAACGCTAGGGATACCATTGTAAAGACACGAGCTGAGTTTCCCAGAGCCTACTTAGCATCATTTTGGACAGGAAAAATACCACACAAGCCCTTACCTGGGGACATAAGGCCAGTCCTCTTATTTCATTTAAAGCTTTTCTTGAGGATATGCCTCTTTAACATGCATCCTGTAATGTGCACTGTAGCGTGGACTGCTTGAGGCGTTGTCACGGAGGGAATGCACCCACGTAACCCAGGCCAGGTCAAGATACAGAATGTTACCAGGAGCCCAAATGCCTCCTTCATACCCCCTTCTTTTTTTTTTTTTTTTAATATTTATTTATTAATTCATTATTTATTTATTTATTTTGGCCACACCAGGTCTTAGTTGTGGCGTGCGGGCTTCTTAGTTGTGACGTGCAGACTCTTAGCTGCGGCCCGCATGTGGGATCTAGTTCCCCGACCAGGGATCGAACTCGGGCCCCCTGCATTGGGAGCGCAGAGTCTTACCCACTGGACAACCAGGGAAGTCCCCATGCCCCCTTCTTGACACTAATCCCCCAAAGGAGACCTTTGTGGACTGGAAGTCACACTTCTGTCACAGACCACCGCCAACAGGAGAGATTTGTGAGGAATAAAACAAGGTCCCACCTTAGCACAAAGTCTCTTGATACAGACCCTGACACCTATTTAGTGCTTAATACATGAGGGGTTTTAAAAAAGAGAGGATGGGGCTTCCCTGGTGGCGCAGTGGTTGGGAGTCCACCTGCCGATGCAGGGGACACGGGTTCGTGCCCCGGTCAGGGAAGATCCCACATGCCGCGGAGCGGCTGGGCCTGTGAGCCATGGCCGCTGAGCCTGCGCGTCCGGAGCCTGTGCTCCACAACGGGAGAGACCACAGCAGTGAGAGGCCGGCGTACCGCAAAAAAAAAAAAGAGGGGATGTGTGTACACGTGTGGCCGATTCACTTTGCTGTACAGCAGAAACTCACACACCGTTGTAAAGCAGCTATACTCCAATAAAGACCAATAAACAATTAAAGGAGGGATTTTGTTACTCTTTATTAGTAGTACTGGAATAAAGAGAAGCAACGCCTCCCCACACCAGAATACAACGTCCATGAGGGCAAGGAGGGAAAGTTCTCCCAGTGCATCCTCCACGGCACACAGCACAGGGCTGAACTTGTAACAGTGTGTCAGAATTCCACTGTCACGGATACCAAGAGAAGAGCAGTTGCAAAGGACCTCAGTGTGATTTCTATCTTTTTCAACTTCCTGTGCAACCTTGAGTAAGTAGCCTCTTCTATCTGGACCACCAGATAGAATGGAATCCCTGGGGCCATCTGTACTTCTAAGAATTTGAGGAGTCCTGGAGGAAAAGGGCTTCGGAGCATTGATGTCTTACTTTCTGCTCACCTCCCCATTGAAAGGAGGGTTCAGAGTGCCTTCCTTCCTCACCTCTGATTGGGACCCCCTCATCTCCAGCTGGGTTGGAGTCCAATGTCCCAAGATGAACCCAAGGGTAGATGAGTCTCTCGTGCCTCCCCTCTGTGCTCTGTCCCCATGTGATCATGTCCTGGAAGCAGCCAGCACTTCCAGACGTGAAATCCTGATGGTTGAAAGAACATGCTCTGGAGACACTTGAATCACAGCACGGGGCACATTCAGATGTTCAGCCTTGGGTAAAAAAACAGGTCATAACTTCTCTGAGCCTGGTTCTGTACAATGGGATAATAATTACTGACCAAACAAGCTCATCTTTGTAAGATGCCTGGCGCAGCAGGGGGTACTTTGTGGGTGCACAGTAAGTGGTAACAATTAGTAGATGCTGGTGTGCTTGTATTACAAACATCTGTACGTTTCCGAATGGCAGGGAGCTGTGTCTTGTCGTATTCCCAAACCTTACGTAGAGTTGGACACATAGCAGTTTGTCTTATATTGAGATCCCCCGGAAACAGACCCTGAGGCAAGCATTTGAGTGCAAGTAGTTTCTATGGGAGGACAGTAGTAGGGAAGAGGAGAGTTCATATGGGGAAGAGAAGACAGCCAATAAAATGTGTGTTATAAAGCCAGCTACCTCAGTGGATAACTGGAAGTTAATCCCACTGAGAAACCCTGGGAAGCAGTGCCCGATACCTGCCCCAGAATTATTCCACCTGAGGGGGCAAAGGACTGGGGTACTCATACACCCACTCCTGAGAGTTGTGGGCTGTTCCCAGGGACATGTTAATATCCTGGCACATTAAGGCAACCACAGTTTGTGGGCGAGGAAGAAAAGGCCCTCAGATGTGGAGATGCAAATACAGTACATTGAGAGTTCACCTTGAAAGTTTGGAGAGAGATGCGTGGTGTCCTGGCAGCACCTGCAATGCACGAGCCCGGTAATTGGGTGTCCTATGAAAAGATCCACCTGAGCCCATTCCTCTGTCTCCAAGAGGGCCACACAGACCCCACCCCATGCTCCATCCTCCTTGAGAGTGATAGCTTCTGTCCCTTTTCATGAAAGACAGTAGGGTGGGGAGGTGTGGTCCTTGTACTGGCAGAAAGCTCGTGGGTGGGGCTAAGCAGAGTAGATCAATGGTGGGAAGAAAAAGAAATCAGTTTCAGGAAAACAATTTTATTGCTGGGGGCTGGAGAGGAGGGGATGGGAGGAGGCTGCCCAGGAAGATCCAGCTCAGTAGGAACAGATGAACGGGAGACCCACGCCACAGGGAGCTCGACGCCAGTGGCCTCCTGTGAAGATGCAACAGGAAGGGGTCTCAGCCTCTTGTTCTCCCTGACTCAGCCCCAGTAGGGCCTTCCCCTCTCCCTACCCCACACCTCAGTGGAGATGAGTCTGAAGAGCCAGGAGGCCTCTCCTTTGCAGGGTCTGGCTCTTCCTGGAGCCTCCTCCCTCCCAGGCCTTGCCATTATTCATCGCCACTCCCACCACCTCACTTCGGGTGCACAGGGTCACACATCTACCAGCACTGCCCCAGGGCTGGCCAGCAGCCCCGTATGCAAAATTCCAGGGAGTGCCCTCGAGCCAGCAAAAGTGTGTGCAGCGACCCTAGGGGAGGCAAGAGGGAAAGAGGTGGGCTGGGACACGGGCAAAGGGAAAGCAGGTAGGCAGAGCTGGGACTATCCCTGCCTGACCCTCCCACTGCCCTCCAGGCATTGGCCCTTAAAGGACTGCTGGATCACAATGGACACAGTCCTGGTCAACTGAAATGTAGAGCCACAGTGATTGTCACCATCACATTCTAGGCATTCCAGTGACACCTCCATCCTTTGGGCTCTAACAAGAGGTAGGGCAGGAGTTCCAACCCCATCCTACAGATGAGGAACGAGGCTCACGGTCTTGCCCAGGTCCTATAGACAGTCAGAGACTGAGCAGAACTTGCACCTAAACATCCTGATTCTAAATGCTCGGCTGTTCCCGATGCCTAGGCAGCCCCCTTGTTGTCTCACCCAGGTGTCCATCTATCCCCAGTTCTTCAGGGGATTGTGGAGGAGAAGCACAGACAAATCTGCAGCAGGTTGAACATGGGCTGGGGTCAGGAGATGCTCCCCACTGAGAGCTGGGGCCCCTCTTACCCAGCCGGTGACCTGGCATCCGCTCCAGACTTGGCCCTGGTTGATCTGTCGGACGAAGCACTGGATCTGGTAATTAAGGCTGAAGTTGTGGATGGAGATGAGTCTGCCCCGGTAGCACCTCTGGCAAGTTAACTGCAGGGCAGAATGAAAGAGGAAGAACGGTGTGCCTGTCCCCCAGGAATTCACATCACCTTAGTCCTGGGTGTCTAAGTCTCCAAAACTCACCCTCCACACCCCCAGCCCCACAGACATTTGAAGGCTGGAGATTAAGACGTAACTTCTGTTTCTGCATGACCCTCACCTCTTACCCCCAACGCCTCTGCGGGTCTCAGCCTCTGCTAACACCCCCAGGGTCCTCAGTGCGGAAAATGACCAGCAACACAGAGGCTGGAGACACCAGCTCCCTATCGCCACCCTGGGCCTCAGCCACAGCCACTGGCCACTCACCTGAGCATGAATAAAATTCAGGGGATCCTCACCAGGAGGAAGCGGCAGGTCTTGCATCCAGGGATGCCCTCCAGTTTTACTGTGTCCTCATCCTTAGGACACTGAAGGCCCCTGTCTACCTCATCCAAGGCTGAGATGGACTCAACAACCCCCTCTTCCCTGGGGGCATCTTCACTTCCAGAGCCCCTGTCTTCCTCTTCCTCTAGCAGCATCCCTCCACAGGGATCTCCTTTGCCCCACTTTCTGGCACCTCCCCAACATGAGGCAGGGTGTCATCTCCCAAGGGTCTCTCAATGTTGGACATTTCAGTTCCTGGCAAGAAGAAAGGTCAAGTGCCCCTCCTTCACATCTTCCCCCGTTCCTCCCCAGAACCACGGAGAGCTCCCTCCCGGCCCCAGGCATTTGCAAGCTGAGTCCTGGAAAGAGAGGAACCTGGAACAGAGCCCACCCCACCCCAGGAGAAGCCAACCTCCCACATGAGGTCCTGGTTGTTAAGGGCATGAACTTAGAGTCAGGCAGTTGTGGGTTTTGTTCTGGTTCCATCATCTACTAGTTTTAGTTCTTCGTTTGTGATATGGGTATACCACACCACATACCTCATGGGGATGCTATGAGGATTAAAGGAGATAATGCATAGAAAATGCTTAGCACTGTACACTCGGTGAGCTCAAAGTAAAAGAAGGATCATTTGATCAGCGTTTGCACCTTGCAGAAAGGACAACATTGAGAACGTCACAGTAGAACCAAGACTGCAGACATGCAGATGCCCTGAGGAATCCCTTCAACTCCAGCTCTAGAGTCCCCGCTCCTTTCTGTGCAGAGATCCTGAAATAGGGGATGGCCAGAGAGGAAGGTGGCTATGTGACTCTGACCCTATAAACTATAGTAAGGAGTCAAGTAGAGAAAGAAAGGCTGAAGGCCAAGGACACTTTCTCAGATGAAAAGCTGAAACTGTCCCAAGTAGAAGAGCCAGAAGTAGGTGGAGATTCATTTTGGTTTTATCCTGCAATGGAGAACAGAGTTGGACACACACACACACACATACATTCATTCATTCAGTAAATACTCCCTCCCATGACCAACACAGAGCAGCTTGAAGGTAGAAAGCTCTGCAGCTCCAAATACCCAACTCACACCGCTCAACCCTCATCTCCACTTGCACCCTGCCCCAGGGTTTATCAACCTAGAAACGATGAGTGGATTCAAGGGGCCATGAACTCTGCAAACATAGAGAACACATGGTGTGATGTTTCTAGGGTGAGTGTTCAAACCATCCATGAGATCGCTCTATGTCCTCCCAAAAGGCAAAGGAACTTCTCACTTTACTGGATGATTTGTTCTCAAATTGCCAGGAATGACCTCCAACCTTCTCCACCAAAAACGTCCTCCTTGGCTCTCGTCATCAGCAGAATTCTAAGACGTCCCCGAAGATCCTTCTCCCACTCCCGTGCACACATGGTGCATAATCCCTGGGACTGTACATAGGGACATAGGATGGCATTTACTCCTGTGGTTGTGTTATATTATATGGCACAGTTGGCCTTATGAGAGGGAGAATATCCCGGATGAGTCTGATCTAATCAGGCAAAAGCCCTTTAAAGTGACTGGGCTCTTTCTGAAGTCAGAGATTACAAACATGAGCAGGGGGCTTTCCTGGTGGCGCAGTGGTTGGGAGTCCGCCTGCCGATGCAGGGGACACGGGTTCGTGCCCCTGTCCGGGAGGATCCCACATGCCGCGGAGCGGCTGCGCCCGTGAGCCATGGCTGCTGAGCCTGCGCGTCCGGAGCCCGTGCTCCGCAACGGGAGAGGCCACAGCAGTGAGAGGCCCGCGTACTGCAAAAAAAACCATGAGCAGGATTCCACCCAAGGGAGGCTCTCTGTTGCTGGCTTTGAGGACGGAGGGCAAGGAATGTGGAGCAGCCCCCATGTGACAGCCAGCCAGGAACAGCAGAAGGAACAGAATTTTACCACAACCATGTGAGCTTGGAAGAGGACCCTGAACTCTAGGTGAGAACACAGCTCAGCCAACACCTTGAATTTAGCCTTGAGAGACTCTGAGCAGAAAATCCAGCCATGCCATGCCCGGACTTCTGACCTACAGAACTGTGAGCTAATAAATGTGTGCTGTTTGAAGTCACTAAATCTGTGGCCTAGAAGACACATACAACCCTCGAGGCCCATTTCCTTCCAAGGATGAAATTTACAGTAGGTGCAGTTGATGGTGGGGGATTGATTGGCACAGGGGAGTGTCCCAAAGGAATGGGCTGGAGGACCTTCTAAAGAACCCAGGGACAGAAGGTCAGGAAATATGGACGGGGAGAAAGAGAGGTTTGATTCCAGCCAGAGGTCCCACCACCCTTCCTCTCAGACCATAAGAGGCCGGTTAGCCTCTTCTAGCTCCAAGTTCTGCCCTCAGAGAAGCAATGAACTGCAGGAGACAGAACTTCAGAGCTGATCAACCGCCTGCTGCCTGGGCTTAGCCAACATCTCCCTGGGGGCAGATAGGAGGTGGAGAAAGGACCAACATCATCCCCAGGGTAAGCAGCCCAGGAGATAGAGACCTGGGCCATTGCTCTGTGAAATCAACCTTGATTTACAGCTCCTTTGACACTTCCCCCTTTGGATGCCCCAACAATTGACATAGACCAAGGGCTGGGCTGCTAGGGCTGGAAGGGCCTTTAGAGGTGACCCAGTCTAAGTCTCCATGCCCAAGATATGGAGGACTCAGATGTCCTGATTCCCAGTTCAGTGCTCTTCCTTTGCCCTTGGTGAGAGAACCCCCCTTGGCCTCCAGGCATCTCCTCTCCCAGGGGCTGTGTACACACAACAAGGTTAGAAGGAATATGTCTTTGCAGTCAGTGCCCATCCTCCACCCCACCTTCCACCTTCAATACTTCCCCAGACCATCTACTTCTCTCCATCTCTGCTGCCACCTCCCTAGCCCAAGCTGCCAACGTTTGATAACGTACACCCAAGCCCATCATCCCCATGCTTGCCATTCAGTGTCTTCCCTCTGTGCCAGCAATTCATCCAAACTCATTACCATTGCCTTCAAGGGCCTCCATGGTCTGGCTCTTGTCTGCTTGTCCAACCTCACTGGTGTGTGTGACCCTTGTCATACTGGTTTCTGCTCCATTGGCCAAGCTAAAGTTTGGTACTGGCTCCGTCTCACCTAGTGGGTCTCAGCTCCAAGGTCGCCTCCTCAGAGAAGTCTTCTCTGAGAACTCTTTCTAAAGAAGCCCACTCCGGGGACTTCCCTGGTGGCACAGTGGTTAAGAATTCACCTGCCAGTGCAGGGGATACAGGTTCGAGCCCTGGTCAGGAGAGATCCTACGTGCCGCAGAGCAACTAAGCCCCTGTGCTGCCACTACTGAGCCTGTGCTCTAGAGCCCACGTGCCACAACTAATGAAGCCTGTGCGCCTAGAGCCCGTGCTCCACAACTAGAGAAGCCACCACGATGAGAAGCCCGTGCACCTCAATGAAGAGTAGCCCCTGCTCACTGCAACTAGAGAAAGCCCGCGCGCAGCAACGAAGACCCAATGCAGCCAAAAGTAAAATTAATGAATTAATTAATTAATTTAATTTTTAAAAAAAAGCCCACCCAACCCATTCGCATATCTAGTTACTCTGGTGCACATCATTCATTTACTTCCATCAGAACATTTGCCAAAGGGATACGACCTTGCTCCTTCACTGGTTTCTTGTCTACTGTCTGTCTCACCCAGTAGGAAGTAAGTTCTAAGAAAACAGGGACCTGGTCTTTCTTGCTCACTGCCTAGAACTCTACCCAGATCATAGAAGGAGTTTTTCAATTAGTTTGAAATTAATCAACTTGAAATTTACTTCCTGGAGAAAGTCCAGCTGAGTTAAATTCAAAGTCCATTCATTTCAATTCTACAGGTGTCTTTCTGAGCCCCACCTGCCATGGACACAATCGTGGGCCAGGCTCTGTGCACTGGGTCATACATTCATTCATTCACTAAATACTCAGAGGCGGTCTCTAATCTCAGGGAGGCTTCATGTAGCTGATAAAGCAAGACAAACAAAATGAACCTCTTAGTAAAACAAGGCACTGTATTGAGTGGACACTTAGAAGGATAAAACTTTCACTTGCTAGAAGATACCAATTTTCTGTGCTACCAGAGTCACATTAAGGGCAAGGGCAGGCAGAGAGGGCTTCCTTGTAAAGGTGCGACTTGGACTTGGCTCTGAAGGATTGACAGACAGGAGAGGAGAGGCAGAAGAGAAGTAGGAGGCATTCTAGGAGCCAAACCATGGCCCTGAACTGCTGGAATCTGAGCCAGGATACAGATGGTTGGTGTTTCCCGGAGGTTAAGTCAAAGAATGAGGTGGGTTCGTCTCTCGGCACCAAAGCCAAGCTCCTCCAATGAGCAGTGTAGACTTGCTGGCCAGTTCTTCAACCCCCTCGACTCCTTACACCATAGTAATCCGGTTTCTGCCCACCCCGCATTGCTACATGGAAACTACTCTTGCCAACGTCCCCACTGACCACCTAATTGCCAAACCCAACAGACATTCTTCAGTTCTTGTCTTATTTGACCTCTGTAGTGCCTGATACCTCTTTACTTCCTCCTTCTTAAAAACAGCCTCTTTTCTTAACAACTTCTGTAGCCATTCCTTCCCAGTTTCTGCTGGTGGGCTCCACTTCCTCTTCTGGAATTTTAAATATTGGCCATCACCTGGTTTCTTGGTGCCCTTCTTTCCTAACTCTACACACGCTCCATGGGTTATCTCATCCACCCCCACGTCTCAAGCTAGGAAATATATGCAGATCACTCCCAAATCTTCATCTCCAGCCCCAGACCTGCTCCTCACCAGGTTTGGTCCACAACTGCAGACTCACATATACAGCCACCAAATAAGCTTCCCAACTTGGATGTCCCATGTGCATTATGAATTCAACACGTCAGACTGACTCATCACACACACGCGTGCACACACACACACACACACACACACACACACCCCTACACTAAACTGCTCCTCTTCTTGTGGTCCCTTTCTCAGGAGAAATCATCACCTTGCACCCAAACCCCCAAGCCAGGACTCTGGGGCCATCGTCCACAATCTTGTCATCACCACACATTCACAGTCATAGTGCGCTTTCTTCGCCATCTCATCTACCCACCCACCCCCACTCCCCTGCTGCTCTCCTACCAGCTGCTGACTGTCTTTCACCTGGATCACTTCAGTGGCTCTCAAATCACTTTCCCTTCCTCCTCTTACCATAACCTCCCCATTTCTTTTATTTTTTTAATTTATCTATTTATTTATTTGTTTTTTTTAATTTTTGGCTGCATTGGGTATTCGTTGCTGTGCGCGGGCTTTCTCTAGTTGCAGCGAACAGGGGTGGGGGGTGCTACCCTTCGTCGCGGTGCGCAGCCTTCTCACTGTGGTGGCTTCTCTTGTTGCAGAGCATGGGCTCTAGGCACGCAGGCTTCAGTACTTGTGGCACATGGGCTTAGTAGTTGTGGCTCGCGGGCTCTAGAGCGCAGGCTCAGTAGTTGTGGCACACGGGCTTAGTTGCTCCGCGGCATGTGGGATCTTCCCGGACCAGGGCTCGAACCCGTGTCCCCTGCATTGGCAAGCAGGTTCTTAACCACTGCGCCACCAGGAAAGTCCACCCCTCACACCCTCGTCTCTGACACATTGTCTGTCTGCTGCCAAAATGAGCTCCTAAAATCCCGAGCTCATCACACAAACACTTTTCAATTATTTCTTCTTGCTCTTGGGCAAATACTTTCTTCCTGATCTGGCCCCTCCTTACCTCAACTTCAGCACTATTGACATTTGGAACTGGATACTTCTTTGTTGCAGGGGGATGTCCTGCGCAGTGTTGGGTGTTTAGCAGCAACGTCCTCACCCTCTAGATGCCAGTAGTACCTTCCCCCCAAGTTGCAACAATCAAAAATGTCTCCAGATATTGCAAAATGTCCCCTTGGGGGCAGACTTGCCCCCTAGTTGAGAGCCACTGGTCTACAACCTCAACTCTCCAAACACACACACACACACAAACACACACACACACAAACACACACACACACACACACACACACTCCACTCTGCTCCAATCATACTGAACACCCTGCTATTTCCCTAATATTCTGTGAGCTCTCAGATACCATTTCATCTGCCCAGAATGCCCTTTCCTCTCTAACCACTGTGCTAGCCCTCCTCTTCTACTAAGTCTCAGCCAAAGATCAACTCTTCCAGGAAGCCTGCCCTGATTCTCCCAGAGAGAAGTAGAAAGGAACCTCATGGGG